CAGTAATATTTATATAAAATATATAAATATATAGTAACTTTAACGGTACGTCTGCATGCCTACATGGCTAAGGGGTGGGGGCAGTGGCCAAAAACAGTGAAAAATTGGGCCCCATTCCCCTGAAGCTGAGGGAGCCCCGTTACGGCATCGTGGGTTAGGACCGTCGGAAAAGGGTGCTCAAATCTCACGGCGGTGACAGGCTGGTTATAAGGAGGGCTACGACGGCGATCTGTGCTTTCAGTGCAGGAGCGCTTGCGTCGGAAGCGTGCATTCAAGATCTGGTGATGCAAGTCAGCAAGATCAAGTACGACGTCATCGTATCCTCGGACAGATTGAGACGAGAAGACATTACTTCTCGTTCGTTGAACGCCATTTTTGAAACTGAAGAACAACTGTTGCTCAGCGCATGCCACAGCAGAGGCGCCGGCGGTGTAGGTGTCGTCGTGAACACGCACTTGGCCCTTAACATCGATTCGTACGAAGGGTTGACGATTAGCGTCAGACGTTTGCGATTGAGAGGAAGTGGCTCAACCTCAGCTCGAACATTCTTCGTTGTTTACGCACCGACATCGAGCTACGACGAAAGAGAGCTGGAAGCTTCTATCTTATCTGGAGGGGCCCTATAGTGAAGACCATACTTTATTTAATGTCACTGTCGGTGATTTCAACGCCAAGATTAGCCCCAAAAGAACGGCTAAAGAGCTCCACATCGGGACTCACGGGATGGAATGGAGTGAGCAAGGTGAAAGGCCGTCCGAGTTTATTATATCGACCCACACTGTCCATAGTAACTCGCAGTTCCAGAGAGCCTCCTTCCCGATAAACATGAGAGTCACCTGGTGGGCAGTTCCATGAGAAAATAGATCACATCATCGTTAATCGAAAGTTTTGCCTGGCTAACGTCGCTGTGGTTCCGAAGTTCTGCACAAAATGAGACCATCGTCCGCTCCGCGCTGGATTCCACTTTCGAAACAGTGGAGAGAGAGCTGCGAAGTTTAGGAAACGAAGCTCCAAGAGTGTTGTCAACTGGGATCACTTCGTTTCACTGGCGAATTTGTGGGAAGATTCTGTTAGCGGCAGCACCGAGAATATGATCGGCTGTCGCACACCGTTACGATAGCGCAATACGCCAGGAGAGCAAAGAGTCTCAAAGATGCCGAGAAATGTGTCTCTATGAAGACTTTCGAGCTGATACCTCGGCAAGGAATCGCGCGAGCTGCATGCAACGACCAGCTGACTTCCTTCTGTACTTGCGAATCTATGAGAAGCGACAAAGGAAGATTCGAAAGAGAGAGGAGCAGCAGTTTTGACTAAAGCCGCCGGGCCTGGGAAGCCAGACGGAAATCGCCAATAACAAGATCAAGTTGACTTCCCTTCGTCTTCACAGCGAAAGTGTTACTGCATCTCAAAGGGCGATGGAGAAGATCATCTACGACTTCTACTCAGATCTCTTCGACGGCCACGTCTACCTGCCCACTCACCATCATAGGCAAGACGAATATATCGCTCTTTCGATTCTGCCTTTCCAAAATACGACATCCTATCGCGTCGATGAAGAATTGTACGGCGCCCGGTCCTGATAGGATCAAAGCAGAACATCTGAAGAGTCTTCCGCTGGTCATTGTTAGAACCCTGTCCCGGTTTCTCACGCGCTATCTGTCGGAATGCAAGGCGCCCATTTCGTGGAAAACTAGCAAGACTGTGTTGCTGTATAAAAAGGGAGATCCAGACGATATTGGCAATTATCGCTCAATCTGCCTGCTGTCTGTTATCTATAANTGAAGGACAGCCATGTGAGCAAGCAGGGTTTCGGAGAGGGTTCAGCACAATCGATCATATCCACACTCTTGCAAGACTCTTTGAAATATCAAGAGAGTACAAAAAACCATTATGCCTTACGTTCATCGACTCGAAAAAATCCTTCTATACCGTCAGGACAGAAGCGGTATTCGAAGCCCTGGGCAACGAGGGTACTCCTACTCAATACATTAGGATGCTCCGTGAGCTCTACAACAACTTCACGGTCAGGATGTCGCCAATCTTTAAGTAAGTCTTCATTGACGTGAAGAGATGGGTTCAACGGAGCTATGCCATCTGAACTTTTCAGCGCCGCTCTCAAGAAAATCTTGCTTCACATAGAGAGTGGGAAAGCATGGGAATGAAGTTGACGGCCGTACTTACATCATCTCCGCTTTGCCCATAAAATCGTGCTTATAACGCGGAGCATCGAGAGGTAGAGCAAATGCTGGTCAAATTCTACATCGCTTGTAGGAAAATCGGATACGAATGAACCTCACGAGGAATGTTAATGCGAAACGGACGGGTATCTGATGCCCCTTTTATCCTGGATGGAACGAACATCTCTGAATGCTTTAGTATGTGTACCTGGGTCGTGAAGTCAATATGATAAACGAACTGAGCAGAGGAAACGGCGTGGGGCGCATTTAAGAACAACGAGGGAGTAGTGAAGAAGGCGAAGAACATGCGGCTTTGCGCTGACCTTTTCGAAACTGCGTTCCTTCCTGCTTTGACATACTCCTCAGGGCAATGGACTATACGAAAGCAGGGTGAGCATGCAGCTAGCGTCACTCAACGCGCTTTGGAAAGGACAGTGCTCCGAACTTCCCTATACACGCAAGTGCAGGAGGGAATCCGGAGATCCAAGCTCCGTCGAGGAATGAAGATCAGGAACGCCGTTTATAACGCCAACAAATGAAAATCAGATGGGCCGCACGTCATGCGATATAGATATAGATGACCGTTGCACCAGGGCTGTTAGGACGGGATCCCACGGGACGTCACAGGTCGCCGGCACGATGGTTAGACTTTTTAAAGAAAGCCCTGGAAAGAGGCCCAAAGTTTGCTTTTGAACTTCTTGCATATGGCACCGGGTACTCCTCCTTCATTTTCTCCCGGGCGTTTTTGGGTCTTGCTTTCATGTCTCCAAACTAGGGTTGCAAACTCGGCATGTTCTTTCTCAATCAAGGACCATAAGGAGGAGTCGAGCGATTCAGGTTCTGGATAGCAGTATAATCATTCTTCTGTGCTAATAAAACGGGCAGCTAGCAACGGCACCACTCTTCGATGAGCATGGCTCCGTGTGCTGGAGCACCGTATTGCTCGAAAAACCATGCGTTGTTTGAGAAGTAGGGGTCGGTTCAGTGCTTCAGCACGCCCGGCCATACGCTTTTTGAGTGCGCGCCTTTTCACAACAGCTCCGACGAACTCAACGTGTTTTACCACCACCCGTTGCTTCCGCAAAAACATCGGTCTGCTGCTCCCATAACAATTGTTTTGTAAAAGATGAGAATTTGGCTTTTCTGTGCAGACTCAATCATTTTAATTCTCAGAAGTTGGCTTTGTCATGAAGATTCTCTCGGCAGTCAAAACGATAGAGGGATGCGTTTTTCCACTTGAGTGAGTCAGCAACCTTCAAACTTTTTGACCCTACATTTCTACTGAGATCGGAAATAGGTATCGGCTTGGAAATCCGCCCCATCGGAATCTTAAGTCCTGCCCCGTATTCATCCTTTTGGTGGGTGGTGGGTCACCCAAGGTTACGATCGACGTGCAAACGGCCTACTTTATTATTTCAAATATACGGCCTTCCTACCAATTTCTATCTTCTCAGTATCATTCGTTCATTATTGGATTCGCAAGGAATTTTACTCTACCCTTCCGCCTCTCCCATGCGATTCACCTTCTGAGAGGTTTAAGGAGCCTCACCTTGGTGACTGTGCAGGTTGCAAGAAATCTAATTATTTCTTCCTCAAAAATCCCGTGAATTTGACGCCCATAATTTTGTGACACCCTGTATATCAAATTTTAGTTACACTATTCCGGGCCTATTTTATATTTGCAGTTTCCTGACTTAACCTAACTGACGAAGTGCTACATAGGAAGTGCTTTTTCTGACCGATGTAAAGCTACTCTACATTTCCTCTCTCCTAGGCGAGCCATGGTTTTCAGCTGTTTCAGCTTTATGGTATGAGCGAAGAATTCCTGCTAGGGTCTATTTATCTACACTGAGGCGAAAACTATGCAACTTTGTACAACTCGGTTATAACACCAAGAAAATGTTGCACAATTTTCTCATAACTAGTATATTTCAACATTTTTCAAAAAAAAGCATAATATATTGTGCATGAAGTCGGACATCCTGTATAACGCTAATAAAAGTATGAGTAGTGGGATATATTCACTTGCATCCGATCACAGGAATTTTGTGATATTTTGCCGATTGCTCCAGCACCACAACCCTTCTCCATCTTTTTATTTGGAGCTATAGGAAGGGATCCTATACTGATGGTGTCGTTAGAAAGTTCAAATGTGTCACCAATAGGGACTCACTTTGAAAGATACATCACGAAGCCCCTATTCCCAGTAGAAACTATGGGAGCAAATTTGTACGTGAGGTATTTCAAGGTTCGATTCATGAAAATTTATGCTGCATTAGAACCCTTACATAAAGAATTAGAAACAGTGCAGCCGACTGATCGAGTAGATAGCTGAGCACTCTCCACACAGTGAAATTTTGGCGATTTCTTTCTGAGTGCTTGAGAACTGTGTAGAACGTTCCCTAACCGATTTTACTCTTGCATATTATTTGCACCCAGTATTTCGGCTGGCTAGCCGCCTTTTCCAAAATTCATATCAAAACTCTAGTGATATTATTGTACGAAAATTGAATTTTTGCGAATATCCTAGAGACCAACATTCCCTAAAAAAGCAATGTATCGTTAAGGTTACAAATGAACGAAAACAAAACTCTGGATCTCGAAAAAGAAAGGCAGTATTACACAAAACAGACCCAAGAACTTCTATTGAGTCTGAAGGTGAGTAACAAATAGAACTCGTCATCTAATGCTGTATTTTGGCAGATTTTTTAACGACCACAACGAAAATGAAAGTACAAAGCCTACAACAAAAAGCTTCGTTATAAATGTTACCTACACCAGCTTCAGAACAATATTTTTGAACAGCATCGCTATATTTGATGAATGTCATTTGAGGAGGTTAACGAACAAAAAGAGCTGACCGAATCGGAACTTCGCCAGCAAGTCATGGCACGAATAGGAGCAGAGAAGCAGCTGCAGGTAAATTTTTAATCTTTCCTCAAATTATCGAAGCTCTGTGGGTGATAATCCATTCATGGAACCAAGAGAAAACCGAGCTACCATTCATTTGGATGTCCACCTCTTAGCAGTTCGAGGTCCTCAACTTGTTGTTTCTTACAAATGAAGAACTTTGTAACATACTTACGACAGGGATCAACTTCCAATTCGGATCTCCTCGTCTCGGAATGAATCAAGACCATTGCGTCACGCGTCCTTCCGTCAGTGATCAACTTGTTCAAGCGAAAGCCAGCGATGTCTCCAATCGTCCGAGCCAATGTAACTCACTGCACTATCATTGCTCGAGGAATATGAACGGTTGATACGGTTTCCTTTCGTTCACAGCATACATGAAGAAGCCTCACCCCATGCTGGCAGCTGTCCTGGTGTATTGGATTCCCAAGCAATTCAGTCAGTAACCGCTCTGATCTAACTGTATCACAAATTGCATAACGTGTCTTAGCCTGAGTCTGGTGTATCGGAGAGCTCCGAGCATTGTCCTTTCCAATCAAACTGAATAACGCAGACTGCATGCTCATCCTGCTCGAGTAAAGTCTAACTCTCCAAGTTATATTTAAAGCAGGAAGGACCGCAATTGCGGAGTGAGCTGATGTTTTTCGTCTCCTACACTAATGTCTACTGATGCCTTGTTGTCCCTAAATCCACACTGTTTCCTTCTGCTCACTTCAAAAGTGAGTCTTTCTATGCCGGCTACTAGACCAAGGTATAGCATTCAGAATGTTCCTACCGTCGGACGTAAAGGGAACATCAGGTGTCACTCTCATGAAAACCGACTTCAGTTGGATGACTCCTTTGTAGGATGGTGAGGGCTTTTTTGTAGAATCGTTGTGTAGATTCACAACGCATCCATCTATGACTAAGAACACTATGAATAAGAGCAATAAGTCATTCACCGCTTCTGTCTCAAATGTAGTTAGCGTTTTTCTAATTTGGTTAATGCAATACATAACGGCATCCCGTTCTATCGCGATACGTCGATGAGCCTTGTGACAATATTATGTGATCGATGTACTCGACGTTTTCGAAATTCTACTTGAAATACATGTGAAGATTTTGTAGATAGATCAGCTGCAACAGGCAGATTGATTGATAAAATTCAACATCGCTGAGACACCCTTTTTCATACAATACGGCCTTGCTGGTTTTCCACATCTTGAACACGGAAAAGCTTGGGTAAGGTGATGTGCCCTCTCTTAACGATGGTTAAGATTTTGGCTTACTTTGAACCCATGAGTGTTAGACATAGCTGCACCTGTATTTGAAAACGCCACAAAGAAGCTGGGTGAGATGACGTTAAACTGCCCTCTATTAATTTTGACTGCGAGTACCGTGTAAAATAATTTTCAAGCAACATTTCAAGGCTGCCGAAAAAGCTTTGGAACACTTGGAAATGGCGCTCAAGATGACTGGTGCACAGATGACGGAGTTGCAGGAGCACATCATGCCTGACGTTCACAAACTGCGAGGTATGACTCCTACATATAACAAGCTCAAAGTGTTTATTGGAGTACGTGCTTGTTATAAGGCGTGCCTCACTTATAAGGCTCAGGGCTGAACGCTAATTCGGAGGGGATGATGGCCAGGTTGCATGAAAACAATGACAGTTGACAATGAGCGAGCTGAAGAGGCTCTCTTTCCTATAAGTTTACCAGTTGGGCTATGCACGCTAACGCGTGCGCTTTATGTCCACGGTATCTAAGGTGGATTTGAATTTTTGATGTATCAGAATAGGATAGTCTCTAGATTTGAACGCTGGGACGACCACTTCGAGAGCCTCCGCTCAATGTGTTTTATTCGAGCAGAATCATAAGTGATAGATCACATACCCGTCTACCTCAATGCAGACCCCTCCCGCTACAAAAGTTTGACCGCCTTTCTTTTGGCTGCTGCAACCATTTTCTCCGCCTTAGAGAACGTTGTTGAACAGAGGTATAATATTAATGCTTGAACTTGACCCTGCCCATTCTGTGCCAGGCCCCTCCACTTGAGGGACTTGACCGCAACTCTCCTATTACCTTTTCTCTCCGCGCTTCTGAACGTTTTTGAACGGAGCCATGGATTTTTAGTCTTAGCTCCGCCCACTTAATGACGAGTCCCACCCACTTCAAGAAACTGGACAAACTTCTTCTATTAACTCCCACCACTTTCCCCCGCATTCTAGTCGTTTCTGAACAGAGTTGTTAATTTAGAAGGCTCTCATTTGGATACACCCCCGCCCATCGTGGACGGAGCTCCGTGTACCCAGCGCACATGCCGCCTTACTCCTCTTTTTCTGGCCTCCACCCCTGCTTAGTCGGATTGACTCATGTGTTAGGTACCGCCCACTGCAAGAAGATAGGTCCGCTCAAAGCCGATAAGCTCATTTTTTTCCCAGCGTGTGACTGTAATGAGGCCGGATAAAAGAGCTTTGTCCATGAAACCGCCTAAGACTACGCATGCTCCGCTCTGCTTAGTTGAGTAATATCAAATTTATGTGCAAACAGAGAGATAGATAGATAGACAGACAGATAGACAGACAGACAGGCAGACGGACAGACAAACAGACAGTTACGCGTAAGCGCGTTATAAATAGTATAACATTATATTATAGTGATGTTGTAGTGCAATCTCGAACTTCTTCGGTACGGGAATTTCACGATCATGAGTTTGCTATTTGTCGTGGAAAGGGGAAAAGCTTAGGTTAGAAAGGCTCCGGACTTGTCAGAGAATAGAAGAATGCTTGACTCAAGCTTAGTTCATCTGGCGCTTCTACTCCCTTCGGAAGCACTGCCTGCAAAGATGAAAAAATCAGCTAAGTAAGTCGAAGCGCTGTCTCAGAAGTTGTCAGAGATACAATCGGCGTTGATACGTGGCCACAGAAACAACCTTTTGCTAGGGCAATAAGGAACCCTTTCAGTAGGTTGTTTCCAAGGAGAAGCTTCAGCGCCCAGAAGCTTTTGTGATGATGGGTCAAAAAACACGGAATGTAATCATGAAGCAGCTTGCAGGTTTCTCACTCCACACATTTGACATTGTACGAAAACTAATAATTCACAAGATAACTGAATGTTAGCGATGTACGTTCAGAATACTTCGAACAGTGTGCTCATGAAGCTCAAATGGAAGCAAACCGTACAGGGATCATGCGGCAGGCCATCTACGCGAGGAAGTGAGTTTAATTCTTCGAGTTCTTTATTCATAGGCATTTGAAACAGAAAACTCATGACGTATTTCTGATGGGCGAACCTTGATATAGTGTTAGCACATAGACAAGCGCCTTACCCATCGTGTTCTTCGTACAACTTCGTGGCTCAATTTTTTCGATTTTATTATTTTTGATAATTTCACTGCCTATTATGGTTTTGATCGCGTGATCATTTTTTACGTATTTTTCCACATGCTATAATCTTGTATTTCGTCGCAGTATGCGATTCGAAAATCCCACGAAAATGGTGAGCCATAAAGGAAAGCTTTGTCGAGGACGGGATTCGAAGCCCAAATTCTTATATTTTGACCACCGTGTGCTTTATCCTTACATTACCGAGCCCTCTCACCTTTGACATATGCGAGACCTTTAGGAAATAACTTATCAGCCTTTACATTTAAACTCGGAGAACCGGTCAGCCAGTTCCGGTGCCTAACCTTTATGCACGATTAGGTCACCTGTCTTTCCGTTGATAATCGATTTGCCCGAGCGACCACCAATAATGTCGCCTTTCGTTCATATTGCGAGATAGTGTAGTCCAGAGGAAGTGTAGTCCAGAAGACCTTCCTCGCTTGGATTACACGACACCATTTCTTTCGGTGTCAGCTCTCGTGAATAAATCTGCTATTGCGATGCGGCCGTCATGGTGTTCGTTTGACGCACCCAGGGATCCATTCATAATAGTTGCGATCTAACGATTATCACCCAGACGATATCACTTTCCCAAAAAAGGTTGTTCAAGAAATCATTGTCAACTGCGATATCGCTGCATGCACATGCCTGCTACTGTTGTTCTCTTTGGTCATACATTTTTTCGTGCTAACAGTTTCATCGTTAGGGCAGAATCCTGCATGCAAGATCCTTCGCAGCCATGATTGTTCCCCTCTGCGCGCCAGCTCAGGAAATGATATCTCAGACTTATGTGGGGCTTCCTTCTGAACCGCGTTCAACGCTGACACGGATGGATATCGTTATCTTCATTCTCTACTTGTTGTGTAACTATTCTATACCCAAGTTGCCCGCATATGAAGAACTGTGTTAAGACTTTCTGTCGTTCATGAAGTCCTCTGTGATTTTCCCAATCTTCAATGGTTTTTGGTGCCGAAGCTACTACAGTACAGTTCGCCGCATGAAGTCTTATACAGCAGTCCAGCATTATCCCTTTCTACGACTATTGATTTTAGGTCGATTCGAAGGTCAAAGAGAAATATTCGCTCATCATTCCGACGACAGTTGTCCGTCAGAGAAAAAGAAGAACAACAAGGCAAGGATCTCAACGACAACGCTCTAATAAAGATCTAATTAATGATATTTGACTGCTCTCTGAGCCTTTTCTACTCATCTCATTCATATTCCATTATCCACATGTATGCGTAGTCGAATATTTACCGCGAAAGGTGATTTTCACTCATAAACTATTCCTTACCCAGCATCACACTTTTATGATCGAACAGTTGCAATACACAACACATGACGTAGAAAAGTTTCGGTTATGAAAACTGGTGAGCCGATATGAATCATTCGGACCCTCTTCTCATTCATTTGTGGCATATAGCTGACATTAAGCGTTGCCTACTCCAGCTGTAAATTGGAACACAGTTTAGCGAAAAAATGAAACATTCCGAAATCTGCCTAAGAACTTGAACCTCGAGGCGAAAGTTTGTTCTGCGTACCACATTAAATGACGCCACTCACCTACCACTCACCTAACACCACTTTTGCAGCAAGCAGATGCTGCAATTGCCAGCCCGATGATTTGAGCAATTCCTTCTTGAAATGCTGTCCATATTGTTGTCGATAGCCTGGAGGCTATTTACCATTCATTCGTGTCGAGCGCAGCTTTCGCGAATGCTTCGCCATAGACGCCCGTCTTCTTCGCTGGGAACTCCATGGCAGCCACTGTCCCAGAAAGCCGCAAACTGTGAACCACGACGGACTTAATCAGAGCTTGAACGCTTTATTGCTCAATAGGGACGAGGAGTTGGAAGATCCTGCAGTAGATTACGATGGTTCCCTTGTTGTCAATGATGATTGAGAAGAATCGATGATGAAGCACCAGAAGAACGTTTTTTAGGTAAGGACAGCCGGTCGTCCAATGTTAAGAAGGTATCTTCACTCCTATTCAAAGAAGAATCTGCTGTTGTAGAAACCGAGTTACCACCTGGAGGAAACGTTCGTTCTCGTGAACGGGCGAACCGTTACGGCTACTACCAACGCATAAGTTCTAACTCAGGCAGAAGAAGCAAGGAAATGTATTACTAGAGCTTACACCAAATGTTCTGCTTGCTAGAACTTTGTTTAATTGAGTTGTTCTAAAGCAAAACACTGCAGCTGTTAGTTCTTCGAGTAAAGTCGTCATCTAAAAAGCTTCCTTCGCCAACGGAAATCAGAGCTAAGGAAACCCACCAAAAAATTATTGCGACATATATTAAGTTGGAGCATAATTATTCCGGATTTTTTTCACCAAATTTTATATAAATAAACGGTGAAAATACCGAACAAGAACATGTTCAAATAATTTCTGGAGCCTATCTACCATCTACGTCAAGCACTGCCTCCATTTGCTAGGCAGCTAGTTTTCCAAGGCAGACGATTTTTGTCGGCGATCCACGCCTTGACATCAGCCATCAAGACATCCATTTCGTCGTGAGTCCCATTCGCTATACAATTTTTCAGCGAACTGTTGACGTGATGATCCATAGGAGTTTCTATCGATCGATGCGACGACTTAAGAAGCGGATCTCATGCCTTACTTGATTTTGGCTAACTGATCCGTCAAAGAAAAGTTCGTTGAGATCGCGAAATAACGCCTGTCACCTACGACCTTTCTTGAAGTAATAAAGCATAATAAGACGAATATGAACATTACTTTCCAGATACCTTTTTGTTGAAGAACCCGGAGAAATATTTCCATGAAAATCTCTAATCCCATATTCAAATGCATCGCGAGAAAAGAAGCTCGCGAAAAAATCCGCAATAATTAGGCATCAATCTAAAAATATATTCCTAAAGCAGACTAGAGACCGGTGTGAGTGAGCAGAAGTCAGACCTCAATTCCACTAGATTTGGTTCGGTGAAAACGCGCATTACAAATAAGGTAAAATATCGATTTGAGCATCAGCTGATCCGTGTAGTTCGTTCTTACGCAAGCTCCTATTGTTAATTGAGAGGAGTTTCCTGATAAAGTCCAATTTCAGCCCTCTAACTGGTATAGTAACTCAACAAAGGAGGCTTATTCCATGGCCAACAGTTTTGCCTGCCGTTTCACTTACGTCCAGAGCAGAAAAGATGCTCGAATGCACAAGAACCGATAAGGACCTCCTTTTCGTCCAATTAGTCATGTTTTTGGTCCTCCCCCATCTCGCACTCAGAATAGTAGTGGTGTTCTGTTTTATACACATTGTACAATGACTTGCGATGACCAGCTGATTGACCAAGCGCTTTTACGTTCCAGACGAGTTTATATTGCTTGAAGTTGCGGAGACGTTCGATCAATTGGCATCAAATCAGGTGGCCCAACGGCAAACTCTTCATAGATACTACGTGCGCGTCAATTGCTTATGCCACCCCCACATTTTCCTATTATCTCGTTTCCTACCTACATCTGTCACATGTGACATACTGCACTACAATGGACTGTGTCAGAGACTCACATATACAAGACATACACCTGTTCAAAGCAACAGCTTCATTTTTACAGTTCATTTTAATAAATGTGCCGCGTCGAAATTATTATATATGCCATACTTCAACACATATTACGAACTTTCTTTACGACTTCAAAGATTCTATTAGTCATACTGTCAACGAGATTTTGAATAATATTTTATGGAATTGAGTTCCATGCACTTAGAATGGCTGCTCTCAGCGAAGAAACGCTGTCATACTGGATCTCTCCGGCAAAGACCCTGCGCTCCAAGATACTTCAGAGATTCTCTATGGGGTTTAGGTCCGGGAAGCATGGAGGCCAGTCCAATACATCTACATGGTGAGCCCCTAGCCACTACAAAGTTGATCGCGAGACGTGTGCAGGAGCGTTATCCTGTTGGAAAACGAGTTTTTTTTTNGCCCATACCATAACAGTTCCTCCGCCGAATACACGTTTCGCAAAAATCCTAGGCTCCTCTCGTAGTTCCCTCCAGTAATAAACGTGCCCGTCCGGACCATCCGGGTTGAATTTCTTTTCATCGGAAAAAATCATCTAAACCATGCAGAAGCTAAGCAATGCACTTTCTAAAACGTGCCAAAAAACCTCACCGTTCTCCAGTTTCTTGAAAGAATTTTTCTTGCAAACTCAGCAGTCGGGCTTGGCGATGGCTCCTGGTTAGACAGGAGCTGGCTTCATCCTCTCCCACCTCAAGAATATTTGGCGACGAATAGCTCGCAATACAGTGGAAGTCGACAAGAAAGTCGTGCACGAATCTGATTGGCACTCATGGTTGAATTGGAAGTCAATCTAGCGACCCGTCTGTGGTCGGCTCGTATCAATTTGAGTGGGCGTCCTCCTCCGTATGCTTGACCGTATGCCGCAGGATTCTTCACGAAACCATCGATGCAGCGTCTGAAACGGGCGAATTGTCCCGCGATGGCCTTGTTGCTATGGCCTGCCTGACGAAGCGATAGAATTTGGCTCTGTTCTGCTGAAGGTAGGCGACGACCCTTAGGCATGGTGGACTGCTTTGGATTTCGCAATCCTGCCACTCCGTACAGAGGGCGGTAGGACTGCGCGAACTCGAGATATTTCGTAACAATAACGGCATGGCACAAGCAGTTGACGCGGCTGATTTTCACTTTCCCGCCAAAAAAGGGCGCTACCCAGCGTTTAAATATGTTTAGGCTTTGTTGAAACTCTTGTTCACTCAGTAAGTGTTGGTCAACATTTCAGCTCGCAATTTTGCCTAACAACTCAGAGGAAAATAGGGGATGGCATATGCAATTGACGCGCACATATTACAGGAATGCTCCTGAAGGTGGGAGAGCTCGGCTAGAGTCCTTGAAGCGCAACTTTTTCTTCCAAGTCTACCCTATGACGTTTCACTACCTCCTAAGAGGGCTTCCAGCTCATTCATCGCATTCTTCTTACTCTTATTCTTAAGCATCTGTCCCGCATGTCTGCGGGATCCGCGGAGAGGAAGAAGATTACATTTTTGATGTGACGGGGGTGTTTGTAGGCCGGCCTGTAACGGGGACCTATCGCCCATTCATCTCATTTATTCTGGGGAATTCTTCATTCTGTACGATCATGACTGCTAGTATACCACCCGCACTAGTACAAGAATGCTCCTGAAGGTGGGAGAGCTGGGCTAGAGTTCTTAAAGCGCAGCTTTTCTTCCAGGACCACCCTATGGTGTTTCAGTCCATTCATCTCATTGATCCTGGAGAATTCTCTATTCTGTACGAAGGTGACTACTAGTGTTCCATCGCACTAGTACAGGAATGCTCCTGAATGTGGGAGAGCTGGGCTAGAGCCCCTTGAACAGCAACCTTCTCTTCCAAAACCACCCCATTGTGATTAATTCTCTACCCCACCTGAGAGCTTCAAGCCGTTCTGCTGAGAGCTTCCAGCCGTTCTGCTGAGAGCTTCGAGTTTTTCTGGCATAGGTGTGCTTCAGAGAGAGGGAGATCCGGCCAGAGCCGCTGCGACGCTACATTCCCTTCCGAGACAACGCCAACGTTTTTCGTACCTTCTTGGGAGGGCTTCTAGTCCAAGGACCTCAGTGATCGACAAGAACTCGTTATGTACAACTTCAGTTCACGTCAAGAAAATTTGAATACCCGCCGTTCCTGTTCACAGTACTTCCCACAGAGCGATTGCGGTGATCAAATTTGCTAAACCTTAATAGATCTTTTTTTATTGTCAGGAGACAGTGATTAGAGAAAATCTAAAGTTGCCATCAATCAGCTATGGTGGTCCATTCTTTCAAAAAAGTATTTCTCGTATAGCTTGGTGGGATGCTTGAAAACATTCGCATTCGTAGCTGAATGTGCTCTGTCGATCGATCAGTTAATTCAGAATCAGCTATTTTGAACAATCTAATTTCCTAGATATCATCCTCTTTCCTCATTGAGAATAAGGTAATATCCATTGTGTGCAGCCTCAGATCAACGTTAAGGAATTTCAATTACCCGCTGTCCCCTGTGCACAGTACCTCCCACAGAGTCCTGGTGGTCCAAGCCTCCCAAAATAATTGAAACCTATTTTTTAGTTTTGGGATACAGTACTTGGAAAAATCTATCTGTATTTACCAGGAACCATTTTAGGTGGTCCCTCCCCCACAAAAATTCTCTTTTAGTTCGATAGCAGCATTGAATAATCTCTTTCTCTCAAATGATTAAGCCGCGACGACCGATCACGCTCCTAGATCTTCATTTTGTTCAAAAAAGTTGAGATCCACCTAACTGCGAAGGAAATGAGATGAAGAGTAGTAGTATACCACCCGTACTATAATAGTACTGGAACGCCTCATGGAGAGGACTAGGTTAGAGCCAGCAAAACAACCATAATAAGGTTTTCACCTTCCTGTAATAGCATCTGCCTCACATCAGGGGTGTTATACAGAACTCCGGGAATGCCCGTGTCCCTCTGAAATTGCCAGTGTGGCGCCTTTGACGGTAGGAGACGTGTCGAGATGGTGGGTAGAGGGTAGATCCTATAACAAACGAACTGGAACTTGAAACTAAGGACAATCAAATATGAAGAGTTCCACAAAAAACGTGAGTGGACGTGCTCATAAAGAAACTAAGATAGACTAAGTTTTACGAAAAGCATGGGCCACAAATTCGCAACACTCCAGATCTCTCCCACAATTTCCTGGAGGGTCCAGTGGGTTTCTATGTATGTATGTATGTATGTATGAGTGGTGAGGACTTATTGCTTACCAGGCGGCTACGCACGCTATCGCGTGCGCTAGGGGCTCTAGCCATGAGAGACGGAGCCACATGAGCTGATTTTCATTCATTCATTCATTCCTCATCGGACTTGTTGATTTCAGCACAAACCCCGCCTCCTGTGGGGGGAGTCTGGCCCTGCTACCACCATAGGTTTTGCCATCATGCCGCCTGCACTCCTACTTCGTTTGAACTTTTTAGGTCCAACGGGACAGAAGTTATGAATTTTTGCTCAAATCCCGCCTCCTGTGGGGGGAGTCTGGCCCTGCTACCACCATAGGCTTTCCCATCATGCCGCCTGTACTCCTACCTCTCTAGGTCTATGGGAAGTGAAGTTATGAA